TTTATACGAAGGCACGGGTTTCAACCGTGAATTGGAGTTTCGACAAGCCGGAGGTTTTTTTGCGAGGTCGGCCTGTTAGCTTAGCTCGTAGCTTAGCTTCTTTTAACGATCCAAAAACGTGATTTTGGACGGTTAAAATTGATTTTATAAAGAGAAAGGGAGGGGTCAGTGAAGAGCACCGGAGTTGAGCCTTTTGTCTTCAGTAAAAAGAGAGACGAAGAAACGATAAAGCCGATCAATGAAAATGAGATTGACAATTTTCATTTATCATGCGATAAATTAATTTATCGTTTATCGCGACAGTCCAAGTAGGAGTCACAGTGTGGAGAGGAACAGAGGGAGGTCTGCTTGTTCGAGGCAGCGCAGAGTGACAGATCCTGGTGAGTGGAAGGAGCCATTTTATCCACCACCAGGTGCAGTGGTGGAGCCAGGGGGTGACCAATGGTGGCCATGGCCACCATCGATTCATATTTGGGCATCTCCATTATTTGATGAAACTATACTTTTATGCAATATAAAAACAAGTAAGATTAGTTTCCTACACCATGACGCAGCCACACATCTATATGCAAGTCGGTATCACTTTTTTTTGTTATCCGGCTAATAAGACGTACGGACGGACGAAGGGAATTTCCTATTCGCTCCACAATGGGGGACATTAATCTTTAAAATAAGGCCATTTTTGTTGAGAAAGAACAGCAAGAACCATTTTGATCTAATATGGAAACAAAAACCTGATTAGAGAGTTCCATTAAATTGCTTTAGGTTGTACATGAGATATTTTGCTAACAGACAAACCAACTCACACAGAGGCAGGCAAAAACATTATCGCCCGCCTTTTTGCCAAGTCCCAACAGGGTGTGTTGCACTTCTGTGTTACTGTCTTGTATAATAGACTCAGAAAGCTCTTAAATGACACTACAAAACTCACATTTGTAGCTTTTTTCCTCCTAATGTCAAATACTTCTCATATACGTGTGTAAATACATTTATAAAGATGTCAAATAACTCCACATATTCCTAAACTTTAAGTAAAATTGTGTTTCTCTCCAACGTAACGACCAAATAATAGGATGATGTTTAGTGGCTTGGTGTAAGTTTGTAGAGCAGATTTATTTTGGATCAGAAGTGCTGGAACTGATTTGGACCTTGACGGAGTTGAGAATCAGAAGAAGCCGTTCCACTGGTGCTGCAGATCAAACGGCGTCGGAGGCGTGACCATCCACGGGCTGGCAGCTCGTCTGAACTGCTCTTATTCTGTCACAGCTCGTAAACACACACCGCTGCTTTAATGTGTGTGTGCGCTGCGCGTGTCCACCAACTGTTTACTCTAAATCTTGCTCAGCTTAAAGTTTATAATGAAAAAAGAATGTTGCCTTCAGGTGCGAGCACCCTCTCTCTCTCGTGGCACTGAATTTGCTGCTATTAATAAGTTGATATGATCCAATCATATGTTTATATAATTGTACCTCTGCCAGCAGGACTATCCTCTTGCCATCGGGCCAGATGACGTGGTCCACCTGTGAGCGCACCCTCTCCCAGGTTAGCTCAGGGGTCCGCAGGCTTGCCTGCAAGATAAAACACCTACAGTCATTTGCTGATGTGGATGAGCGTCAAGCAATCATCTAATGTACGTTTTTCATGCCTTGAGTATGTGACAGAGGAAACAAGACATCAAATATATGTTAAATTAATAGTTGGTACCCTTAAGAAGAGTATTAATCCTTGCAATGTAGTCACGTTTCAAACCAAGTTTTGGCTTTATTCAGTATTACGGGAGCCTCCGAGCTTTTCATCGGACATTCGGCCTATTTATTGTTTGGTACGAGCACCACGCTGAACGTGGAGCAGAGAAAAGGGCGAGAGCCGTCTGAAGAGTCCAGAAAGATTATAAATATCCATGTTCAAGAAAAAAAGGTTCAAGTTCCTTCTGACCACAATTATCAATATTATTAAAAAGTACCACATTTTTTGCCGAATAAGTCGCACCTTTTCGCATAAATTTGCAAGTCCTGCAACTTGTCCACCCAAGAAACTAATATACGTTTTCCCACCTCATATTTATAACTCAATTTTTGGCTGAGATCTGACGATTTCCTTCATTCAGACATGGAAAATATTGAACACTACCATTTTCAGCCACTAGAGGGCCCTCGAATAATAAGTCAGTTTTCAGATGTGTCTTATCATTTCTATGCTGATGATATTAAACTATATTGTTCCTTCAGACCTTCTAAACATAAGTTGTCCTCCTTGTTAAATTGTATTAGCAATATCAAACAGTGGCTCAGTGACAACTTAACTGTGATAAAACTGAAATCCTAATTATTGCTCCTGACAATCAAATACCTGAAATTAAGCAACACCTTGGGTGTATTGGCCTCTTCTGTCAAACCAAATCTCAGAAACCTGGGCATTATTTTTGATTCCGACATGTCATTGCAATGCCATTCTCGTGGATTAATCAGAAACGGCTTTTTTCAACTAAGAAATATTTCTAGGCTTAAGTCTCTTGTGTCAAAAGCCGAATTAGAGATGATTGTCCATGCTTTTATTACATCCCGTCTGGATTATTGTAACAGTCTTCTCCTGTGTTTGACTAAGAAGGATCTTGATGGTTTGCAGACCGTTCCGAATGTTGCTGCAAGACTTTTAATCAACACACGGAAAACAGAGCACATAACGCCAGTTTTAATCTCTTTACATCGGCTACCGGTGCGTTTTAGAATTCATTTAAAAATGCTAGTTCTTACTTTTGGAGCCCGGAGTGGTCAAGCCCCATTCTACATTTCTGACCTTTCAGAGCCCTACTCCTCTTCTCGGAGCCTCAGATCTTCCAGTCAAAGGCTGTTAATGGTCCCAAAAACTCATTTTAAGACCAGAGGGGATAACGCTTTTAGGGCTGTGGCCCCGTGACTGGAATGCATTGCCTCTGACTGTGCGCTGCCTTGATTCTCTTAATTCTTTTTAAAAAATCAGCTGAAGACATTTGTTTAGATTGGCTTTTAATTAGTTTTATATTGTCTTATGTCATACGCGTGTTTTATCCTTTATCATTTGTGTTTTTATATTTTATTCTGTAAAGCACTTTGTGGTTTCTGACCTGTAACAGGTGCTACATAAATAAAGTTTACGGTACTTACTTACTCGACTAATATGGCAAGCCAAGTGTGTCATTAATAGGTAAAAGTGGCTATTAATGAGACATGTGGCTTGCCATACCAAGCCACCTTCGTCTCGCTCTGGAACTCCTGAAGCAAACGTCAAATCAGCTGCATTTCACCGCGCCCCCCAGGCAAAATGCAGCTGATTTGACGGTTAAAGTAAATTTATTAAGTAAAAGTCCAACTGAGACACACCTTTGCTATAATGTCGAGCAAACAAATAATTGTTTTTAAGTGTTAATCTTGTTAAATCCTTGTTAAAGTCCTCCCATGCATGTTCCCGCGGTCAGCCAATCGATTTTTGACAAAACACCGCGCAACGTTTCCGGGTGGTCAGTGGTGACGCACAATAGATGCGACTTATACGGCGAAGCGACTTATTCATGTTTTTTTTTCCATTTTATTAGACATTTTTGGACTGATGCGACTTATGGGGCGGCAAGTACGGTATAAGGTTCAAGGGACTGTTAATCACCCAGGATGTGGACGCAAAAGGAAATGCAACCCCATGTTGATCAGAGTGAGAGTGTGAATGGTAAAAAAATAAATAAACAATCAAGGACACCACAAAACCCCACTGAAGCTGCACTTCAAGGTACATCACTTTCTGATTGTACCATCCGTTGCATTTTGAATCAAAATGTGCTTCGTGGAAGAAGAGCCAGAGGACTAAAGTACTAACAGGACACACAAAAAGCCAAACTCAGATTTGTCAAAAGCTGCAAAGTTTCTGAATAAGTTTCAGTGACTGATAAAACTGGGGATCTTTGACTTTGTATGGTTTATATTTTGAATAACAAACATTTTTCCACTTTTTGTGATCATTAGCTCAAACAAAATATTCCTTTTTTTTTGTGGTAATTTCCTTTTATTTACATTTTACCGCTCCCTTTTCGAGTCGCATCATAAAGTCATCTGTCATTTTTAATGCTGCACTCGCTGCAAACCGCTCAGCATAAAAGCAGATTTAAAAGCCTGCACTCAACATCTAATCCCACGCTTGTTTTATTTACCGCTTCACATCAGCACAAAGCCTCTCGCCCTCCACAAATGTCATTAAGGTAATCTGAATTAATAAATTAGTGAAAGCAGCACAGACAAAACAAACATTATTGTTGACATTCAAAGTTAAAAAAATCAGACGCTTTTCTGAAACCTGTAAGCTCTTAGTTACCATGACGACAGTGAACAATCACTGCCCAAGTTCAAGTTTACAGACATCAACAACCTGCGTGTGTTTCCATCCATTTCTAGAACCTGTAATGTTCTGATCGCTTGTCAAGGGGGATTATTTGTGCTGTAACAATTGTAAAAAATAAAAAGAGTGGTTGTGCAGAAGCCGACTGACCACATCGATCTCGGTGTTGGAGTGTCCCATGTTGCAGACGATGCAGCTGCTCTTCATGCGGTCCAGGTGCTCCCTCACCACCACGTTCTTGTTGCCTGGCGAGAGACGTTAGAGCGGGGAGAAAAATCAGACCGAGAGGAAAGAAAGAGACCGAGTACAATTTGAATACACTTTCAAGACAGTCTGGGGCCTGACGGAGAATAATGGGACTGTCTGCACTTGTCGTGGTGTAATTACTCATCTGAGAACTCGAGCAAAGTTAATTAGAAAATGTGATGTAGTGCGAGTGTTTCGCTCGTCAGATCAGTACTTTTGAAAGGATTTGAGCTTTCCACTTTTTTTTTTAACCATAAAACACTAAAAATACATAAAAAAAACTGTTATTAAATTTATTGAAGCATCGTTATTTAGTCACTGGACATAAATAATGAAATGCATTAAGGTGTGTTTTTGAACTAAACCCTTTACAAAGTATTTTGTGTCCACTCTGCAGGAACTGTAGCTGATCAGTTACCGTAGTTTTCGCTGTATAAGTCACACCTTTTTGCATAAATTAGCATGTCTGCAACTTATACAGCAAAGCAACATATTTATGTTTTTTTCCTCCATATTTATAACTCAATTTTTGGCTAAGATCTGACAATTTCATTCATTCTGACATGGAAAACATTGAGCACTACCATTTTCAGCCACTAGAGGGCCTTCGACTAATATAGCAAGCCATGTGTCTGTCTCATTAATTAATTAAAAGTGGCTATTAATGAGACACTTGGCTTGCCATCCCAAGCCGCCTTCGTCTCACTCGGGAACTCCTGGAGCAACCGTCAAATCAGCTTCATTTCATTGCGCCGCCAGGTGAAATGCAGCTGATTTGACCATTAAAGTGCATTTATTAAGGAAAAGTTAAGCTGTGACACACCATTACTATAATTTTGAGCAAACAAATAATTATTTTTAAGTGTTAATCTTCATAAATTCTTGTTAAAGTCCTCCTGTGCACGCTCCCCCGGCCACCATTTGGCAGCCGATCCATTTTTGGCACAACACCGGCCCACATTTCCAGGTTGTCAGTGGCGACTCATAATAGATGCGACTTATACGGCAAAGTGACATATTTATGTTTTTTCCCACTTCATTAGACATATTTTGACTGATGCGACCTATACGGTGGTGCGATGCGTACAGCGGCAAGTACATTAACAGCTTTTAGACAGCATTGTCTTGAAGACCATTTGAGGAAGTGTGTCTTCCACACACGTGTATACTGTGCTCGATCAGTCTTTAGAACTACATTTATTAGTTTTTTAGCTCCTGCTTCAGAGTAGGTGCTTTCTTAAAGACGCCTGAGTGATACAGGAAGATGCGACGGGTCCGTTTGTAAGTGAACGTTGACCCGACGGCAAACTGAACAAGCTTATAGAACCGTACATTTGTGTCTGTCGCGGTGGCCTGCTATGACGTGCTCGCCTTTACGTGTGTGCAGCACAAAGAATGATCTGTGCACGAGTCTCATCACTTCTAACTCTTTCTGAACGTTTTTAGCACTCTTCGAATCTCTGCCTGAAAATAACCAAAGACCAACAACACACAGCCTCGACTACGGGGGGCCTCCATTGTTGTTGACGGTAAAAGATGCATGTGCCGTAAACTGCACCAAAGAAGAACAAATGGAGCTTTGCCACGGTCGACAATCATCAGTTCTGGGGCCTTGCTACTGCCAGTACCCACCCCCACTCAGCCCAGTTCATCTGCGAACTGCTCTGAGGTGACGATTCTGACGTAAGCAGGCAGCAGCTGTTGACTGGTCTGCAGAGCCACGTCACAGGATGGCCCGCCCTGTTGGTTTGGTTTTCCTAGTTTACTGGTTTCAGGTTCAGCACGGAAGCTCCAAATGTAGTGTAGACCAATGACAAGGTCTAGACTATTCTGTGTTTACTGGCGGATCAGGGGATTCAGCAAGAGCTGACGCTACAAGACACGAGTGAATTTACCACGTTAAATCAGAGATTATGGCGCATCATGGCTACACCCGAACCTTTAAACAGTGCTGGGACATGCTAAAAAAAATCAAGTTACCATATCTTACGGTCACGATGCCACAGGGCGGGGAATCAAATCACGGTGGCAATTCACAAACACCTGAGCAGAACCGATGAGACGAGAACCGACTCGAGTCGAACTTATCGACGGCAAAGCACCTTAAGAGTCCATGTAAACATCCGGCCCAAAGATTTCCCATAAAACTACATTTATATGGTTGTTTTTGAATTCCTACTTTAAAGAAGAAACAATAAAACGAGGATCATCTATACGGTTTCCTTTTTTGTTGTTGCGACGTTTCGTCCATCAATCCAAGGAGCCACAAAGAAACTGACCTGAATTATCGACGTTTGATGTTTTGAACCTCTTTGGCTATAGCTACCTCAAAAGAGTCAACGAGGGAGAGGGCGAACTCCAGGAACTATCGTATCACCAACACACTGGTTGGACCACTATGGGAGTGTGCTGCTTGTGGGACTCAGTTTGTTTGTGGCCCCTCGGACTGATGAAGTCCTTTGGATGAAATGTCTCAACAAAAGAAGACAAAAAAAGAAAGAAACCTTTGAAATAAAACGAGGAGTAGAACCACCTGTGATCACCGGCCCAGGTGATAAAAAGCCATAAACACAAAGTTAGGGACTGGCAGTGATGTTTGAAAATTAAACGTCTAGTTAAAACGTGACCATCACAAAAACATTTTATTTATCTATTTATTTTTACATCATCACCTACGCACAGTTGTTTCCTAACAATGCTTTTCCAGTCGGGGCGCTTTATTTGACGAAACGCCTGCCAGCTAAAAAATTATATCAAAGAAGAAAAACAACTCTTGGCTTCCAGTGTTTTTCTGCTGTCGTAGTTTATTTTGAAAGGATTATCAAGTGGAAACTATGGTCACAGGTGAGTTCAGCTCTACTCTCAGAATACATGCGTGCCGCTGCAAGCTCATCTCACCAGACGTGTTGAAAATTAAAAAACAAAGACCCTTAGCTAGCGTCATTAGCAGCAGCACGTCTCTAAATGCCCCCGTGGAATCGAACAGTCGAACGGAGCGTTTTAGCTTAAAATCTCTACTCCAAATCTCCTTTTTTGGTTTGTATAAAAAAATTAATCACCACAAGAGCTCACAAATGGCCTCTCAAAAAACTTAAAACATGAAAAAAAAAGAAGAAGTCTGAGGTTTGTTCAGCTGTTTTTGATACCACTGGACAACCTAGAATCCCTACGCTGGTTTGATCCAAAAGCAGCCACCTACCTGGTCTTTAGCATGTCCTTTGAGGAACATTATTAACAAAATGTGACACCACATCATCCTCCCTTTGATGATCTTTCCATTGCAGCATCACCTCAAAGAAACCTCTGCTTCAGGCTTGCCAGCAGCATCGGGTAATGAAGTCGGGACAAGTAATTATCTGCTGTAAATTAGAGTTCAGCTCCCCAGCTGCTGGGCTCAGAACCTGATTAGGAACTGCGGCAGACTGACGACCACCACTGAATAGGCGCCGAGAACAAACTGCGACAGAAAACCAAACGTCTCGTCTGACGAAGCGCAAAATACGAGCCGTCAACGTGCGACGGTTGTATACCAGCCCCTGTACGGCTGCTGCGGTCAACAAACAGTGCGCACGCACGTCAAGAACTTAAAGGTGGAAAAACCAACCGGTGCAGGTGATGACGATGTCCACTTGTCTGATGACCTCGTTGAGTTTCACCAGCCTGAAGCCGTCCATGCTGCGGTCGGTCGGAACAAAAAGCGTAAAAGGTTAATTCTGCTCCAACGGCACGAATGAAACTTTAAATGAAACCTACCAGGCCTGCAAGGCACAGATGGGGTCGATCTCTGTGACGTAGACGATGGAGCCCATCGCTTTGAGGGCAGCGCAGCAGCCTTTTCCAACCTGAGGATGGAATAAAGAAAGTAAAGGTCCCATCGTGACCGTGTACTGCGTCCAACTCAACTCCAAGCTCTACCCGATACCTAGCCTTGAGTTCATACCCGTCACCATCTACGACTCTAACTTTGTGCTTGATTGAAGAAAACCAGATTGAAATATTAATGACAAAACAGGAATTAAAAGTTCTCCAGGTTGGAGAAAAAACAATCGGGAATGTTTTAATGTTAGCATTTCCTAAAGGCCCACTGCCTATTTTTCTTTTGATTAAGGATTTTTGTGAGATTCAACACATTATGTTTTAAGAGCATCGAGTGAAAACCCTGCAACTTTTTTTTTCCCTCTGCAAGAGAAGTCTAAACCACCGCAGAGACCTCGGGTGGTTCAGTTCTTGTTGTGATTAAAAGCCGACTTCTGGATAAAAGTCAGTTCACTAATTTAGAACAAATGTTTGTACGTTGGTGGAGGTTTATCATCTGTACGCCTCAAACACGTTAAAGAAACACACTGGACACAACAGATGGACAGAAGAGAACAAAACAGAAAGAGAAAAAGAGTATTAAAAAAAATAGTTCCAGATCTAGTTTTATCCCTAAAGGACTAAAACCTGCAGGACTAAATTTAGAAAATGTGTTAAAAAAAAAAAACCCAGAGAGATAGATTAGATAAAGATAAAGAGCAAAGACAGAAAGACAAAGGCAAAAAGAAAAACTGAAAAAAGACAAAGCAGAAAGAAATAGAAAGAAAAAAAGGGAAAAGAAATATTAGATAATAAGAACAAAGACAGAAAGAAGCAAAAAGAAAGACAGAAAGCAACAAAAAAAGACAAACAGAAAGAAAAAAGAAAGACAAAAAGAAATAAATATCAGATAAGAACAAAGACAGTAAGAAACAGAAATAACACAAAGAACAGAAAAAAAGAAATACAGAAACTAAGACAGAAAAAAGAGACAGAAAGCAACAGAAAGAAAGAAAGACAAAGAACAAAGAAAGAGAAAAAAGAAAGAAAGACTGACAGAAAAAAAGATAGATATCGATAAGAACAGACAGAAAGCAACAGAAAAAATACAATGAAAGAGAATGAAATGGAAAGAAAAACAAAGAAAGAAAGGCAAAAATAAATAATTAGATAACAATAAGAGCAAAGACAGAAAGAAATAGAAAGAAAGAAGAAAAACAAAGAAAGACAAAGAAAGAAAGATCATTAAACAGAAAGACAGACAGAAATAAAGAAAGACAAACGAAAGAAATATTAGATAACAATAAGAACAAAGACAGAAAGAAATAGAAAGAAAGACAGAAAGAAAGAGAAAGACAAAGAAAGACGGAAAGAAGGACAGCAAGATTAGATCGGGATAAGAACAAAGACAGAAAGCAACAGAAAAAAGACAGAAAGAAAGAAAGACAGAAGACTGCTAAACAGAACTAAAGAAAAATAGAGTTAAACACAAAAACAGAGCTAAAAAGAGCTAGCACTAAAAGAAGTAAAAAAGATGGTACTAAAGTGACAGAGCTAGAGAGCTAAAGAGATGAAGTTAAAATGAGCAAAGGAGAGCTAACACTAAAGAGAGAGAACTAAGCATAAAAGCATCCATTGTTCTTTTTCACGTTACAGTTTAAATGTGACTTTTTCAGTTTTTATTTGAGCGGTTTGTGTTTGTGTGTGTGTGTGTGTGTGTGTTACCTCTCCATATCCACACACCACCACCTGTTTGCCTCCAAACATGACGTCGGTGGTCCTCTTCAAGCTAGCAAGAGAAAGACTAATGACTCTCTCTGTACATGTATGTAAGCAGCAACATTTGGGTAAAACGAGTAGTTTATTTATTTTTTTAAATACCCGTCTAAGATGGACTCCCTGCAGCAGTAAAGGTTGTCAAACTTTTGTTTGGTGACGGAGTCGTTGACATTCATGGCTGGAACACACAACTTTCCTGCTTTAGAGAGCTGATACAACCTGCAGACAAAATATATTCAGTCCAAGTAGAAAAAAAAAGCACCTTAGATTGAGTTCTAACAATAAATATTGAAAAATAACGTGTCCATCAATTCATACTTTTATTATTGAAGGATTAAACCTTGTTGTTACGTTTTCACCACTAGGTGGTGATGTCATCGCATTTAACAGAACGTAAATACAAGCATGACGTGTATAAATACACACAATCTGTCATTTAAAAGAGAATGATCTGACACAGAGTCACATAATACTCAAGTATCAGTGTGTGTGTGTGTGTGTGGGGGGGGGGGGGGCTTGTGGTCCTACCTGTGGACACCAGTAACACTCTCCTCTACGATGCCCTTGATCTTTTTGAACATGTTGGGATATTTTTTATAAATCCAGTGAGTCAGGTCTCCACCGTCGTCCAGGATCTGTCGGTCAGGACACGGATGATCAAAAACAAGGAAGTAAATAAAAATAAACAAATAAACAAAGAAGGACAAAGTCCATAAAGGTGTGTGGAGTGAGAGAAGACGTTTAAGGAAAAATGTTTAGAAAAGAAAATACGAGAAAGCTGAACAGGGAGTGCTGAAAATGAGTTAATAAATCTAAAAGGAGCTAAAAATAAACGGCTAAAAGTAGCAAAAGACACGCAAAGAGCTTAAATGTGGAAGAACGGCAACTAAAAGCTAAACAGTAGCTGAACAGTAGCGGGAAACTTAAAGTAAGGAAAGCCTGGTTAACAGCTAAAAGTATCAAAATGGCAGCTGAAAGCTTAACTGTAGCAGACAGTAGCTAAAAACAAAAACTAGCAAAATGGTAGCTAAAAGCTAAAAATTAGCCGAAGAATAGCCAAATGGAAAATGTGAGCTCAGGTAAGTAAAAGCCGAATGCATCAAAATGGAAACAAAAAGCTAAACACCAGAAGAACAGTAGCTAAAAGGATGGAAAGCCAGGTAGAAAATTAAAAGTATCTAAATGGCAGCAAAAAGCTCTACTGTAGCAGAAAAGTAGCTAAAGGCTAAAAGTAAGAAAAGCCTGGGTAAAAGGTAAAAGTACAAAAATGACAGCTAAAAGCTCAATGGTAGAATGTCACTAACATCCTAACAGCAACAAAACGGTAGCTAAAAGTTAAAATAAGGAAAATCTTAAAAATTAACAGAATAAAAAAACACAGCTAAAATATAAACTGTAAAAAAGGGTAGCAAAATGGTAGCTAAAACCTGAAGGATAACAGTAGCCAAAGACAAAATGTTATCTCAAAGTAGCAAAAGCTTAACTGAAAGTTAAACCCAACAAAATGCTAAAAGCTACACAGCAAGAGAACCGTAGCTAAAATGTAAAAGTATAAAAATGGTAGCTAAACGCTAAATTGTGGCTTAAGAAACTCAAAGTGCATGCATGTCGAGGCAGATTTTAAAGAGAAAAGTGTTTTTGCAGCAACTCAAGTGACCTCAGTGTGCTTATTTGGGGAATTTTATTTTAAATGAAGTTAAATATTATAAAGCACTCATCTCCTGAATGAGATGAACATTTATATACTGTATGAAAACAGCTAAAAGATGAGACAACATGCCGTCTGACTCAGCGTTCACTTCTTTCAGTAAAACACAACAGAAGGATCTGGTTATGAAAACAGGACGTGTAAAGAGATTTAAAAATGGAGGTTTGTTACCATGTTGGGCTGCCAGCCTTCCACGTTGACGCAGCGGTCGATGCACCACCAGAAGTCGTCCTCTGACTCACCCTTCCACGCAAAAACGTTGAAGCCTGTAGAAAGGCAGAAACTCTGAATGCAGCCGAAGGACACAGAGCTGAGGATAAATCAGGACGAGAAAGAGGAGAAATTAAAAACAGATTCTAACCTCCTTCTGCCAGGGCTGCTGCCACTTCGTTCTGGGTGGAGTAGATGTTGCACGCTGCCCATCTGCACTGAGCCCCGAGAGCTGACAGAGTCTCCATCAGCACCTGAACACCAGCGGACATGTTGGATTCGGTTTGACGCGTTACCTGCACGACTGGGTTTGTCTGTTACTCACAGCAGTCTGGGCGGTGATGTGAGTGCAGCCCACCACCTTGGCACCGGCGAGGGGCTTCTCCCCCTGAGCTCTCTTCCTCAGCGCCATCAAGGCAGGCATCTCTGAAAGCAGAGGAAATCCATGCAGGGAATCAGCTGAAGGTTTAAGAAATTCCCATTTTTAATCCTCCAGATGCAGCTGAAGGAGCTCCAGCTAATAATGATCCATGTCTGCAGCCTGAAGGGTTCAGCTGAACTAAACGATGTCACGTTATGACCACGCCTCTATGCTGTGATGAACCTCGCCCTTTACATAACCCTGTGAAAGACAAAACACCCAATAAGTGTGAAAATGCTGAATCAGCGCTTCGTTTAGTTGTTTTTTTATTTTTCAGTTTGATTTTTTTTTTTGCAATCTGATAACTTCTGTGCACTTTGAGCAGATTTATTCAGTCTAATCACTCAGCTCCACCAGGTGACGGGTGCTGTGACTTTGGTTTGTGCTCACATATGCTACTTTTAGCTTTTAGCTAGCCTTTTGCCACTTTTACAACCTAGCTAG